ATGACTCTCCGTCATTCTCACCTCTACGTGACTGAAAATTCACTCGTGCGGGTAGTGAAAATATATTTATCGGAAATGGAATTCTTTAAGTTGATCATTACAGCTGGGAATAGGAATCAAAAATGTATTTTTCAGCCTTCTTTTCACATCAGACTTCACAGGCTGATGTTACATTATAGTTTGCTCTCAAAGGAAGAACTAGGATTAAAGCGATCCTTGTGCTTCTTACTGGCGAATATTAATAAACCTTTCTTCATTGCAAATGTTTGCATCTTCTGTGATCTGAAAGACACACGTTAACTCCCCTCTTAAAAAGAACTGCCCAGAACCTCTACTTTCCGTACTGCGTACATTTCAACCCTAGTTTCATGGCGTACCTTTTGTAGCTAATTACTGACTCTGCAATCAATGATCGAGGAGATATATACTGAACCAGATGAAAAAAGTTAGAAATTATTCGTTTACCTGCAATTTAGAAAAAGCCCATCTTCCATCGATCAGACTTGAAGAAAAATTGTCTTCGGTCAATTAAAATTTAATATTTCTTCAACGCTCATTGGGAAGCTTCAGACGAATAAAAACACTTCCTTCGGTGATCTGTTTTGATTGGTAGGTCACTCCGCAAATGAGACAGCTATCGATCCCTATTTGTGAAGTAGAACTTCCTTCTTTTTATCACAGCTTGCTTCAAAAGACGCTATTATGCAAGCGTTATATGATTTCTAACCGAACCAAATGCAATGGGGCCAGAAAAAGACCTTTAGGCCTTTCCCGAAGTTTTGGTAGTATCGAAAAAAAATCTTTGAACCAATGTTAGGATTACAAAAGAGAAGCTCAGCAAAGATCGTTAGAACGATTTTTACAATACTCATGACCATGGACTGCAACATTGCTGTTGATCGCGCTTCGTGCCAGAAGTGACATTAGCATACAACTGTCAATGTTTAAAACCATGAGCGCCAACAACCTGTCGTAGTCATTTGAGACAAGTATCAAATGCACAAAACACTTTGGTAATACCTGTCGCGTAATCGCACAAAGTCTCATGAGATGGTCGAAAGCAATAACACAAGCATCTACATCAGCCCTCTAGGAATGAACAAATTTGTAACAAAGCTACTTCACGGAGTGGTTTGAGCAACTTCAATCCCTTACATCCAATCCATTATAGTCTTCTTCATCCTTACCGGTACTTCTAAGTTTATTCTTTCTGTGTTTTTCTATCTTACTACGCTTATATTCTGTGGTATCTTACAAGATAAAGGTAGCGAAAGATTTATTTCGTCTTGTCACGAGCTTAGTCCTAAGAAAAAATTCTGAGTTCCAGTTAAGAAACAAAGCTCAGACCTTCGGATTCCCGCGCAGCGATGCTCTACCACTGAACCACAGAGACTATGGTGAACAAGGCCATTACGAAGTATATATCTGACTGACACACGTTCTGCATACTGCTACGATCAGCAATGTTGATAGTGTCGTGTTTACGCATAGATAAGACGGTATCTTTTGAACCCGGTAAAGAAAAAGCGAAATATTTGATTTCGTCTTATTACGAGCATGGGACAAAGAAAATATGATCCCGAGTCCCCATGAGGAATGAAGGTAGTTTTTCACGTAATAAAGTATGACTCAGTTATCGCAGTGTAGCCTATTCACACTCGGCTTTTTTAAATGTTTTTAGTCCAAGTCTCCCAGGTTTGTGTCATGCATCCTCTTCATAAAAGCCTTCTTTTCCTTGCTCACATCAAGTGGCTGCCGATCTATTGTCGATCCAACTTGTTCAGCGAGTCTATGAAGCGTCTCCCAAGATGGATCATTTGTAGACTGGGCGCAAGCTTCGGCGTGGAGCCCAGGTTCTTGCAGTCCAGCAGTATCTGCATCTGGTGTCTGCTCGTCATATGAAATCTCTTCAATAAGTGGCTTTGAATTTTCCCTATCATCCATCTCGTCGAGCTCTTCGATCAGTGGTTTACTTGGCTTCTTTAACGATGTTTCCAGGTGCGCAAACCTTTCATCTATTTCCTCGATCAAGGATTTCCTTGCGGGTGGGTTTTTTTCCTGGTCACTGGTAGGGAGTTCTTCTTGTTGGTATTCTTCAATAAGCGGTCTCTCTTGCGATTCCAAATCACTGTCTATCTCTTCAATAAGTGGTTTTCTCTGATAAAAAAATCAACATAAAGGAGAAGTTAGGGAACTGGCTTTGTACCATAAAAATTCCATGAGTTTACAACTAAGGAACTATGAATAAATCGCTAAATTTGTAAAACTTAATGGTACATTATCATATTAGAGGTGAATGCGTAAGCATTACCAAAATATTGCTAAACAAACGTCAAGTATCTTACGTATTCATGTTTGAAGGCCGAAAAACATTTAGAAGATTAATGGTTGACCATTAAAAGCCTTAAAAAGACTTATAAGCTGTACGTAAATTTTAAAAAGATGGAGGGGATGTTAACCTACTGCTTGCAGGGGAGGTGGGGCCTTAGCACACTCTGAAAAATGACCTTCCTCGTTTCTTTCTAATTAGTTTGGCGCTTCCCAGCCTTGAGAAATTGCTACTTTTTATGTCGTTTTTATAATAACTTTGTTTCTTTAAACCTTTAGAACATAATAGTATGCGAATTCTCCTCACAAATATACTAGTCTGCCACTGAGGCAAGCAATAATACAAAAAAGGAAAATGTATTCTGATGACCTGTTTTGGTTGAGTTTTTTCTGAGCTTTGGGAACTGAAGAATAAAAGAAGTTTAGAATAATATTTACACTCCAGAAACAAGGAGACGGTGCAGGTTGAAAGAATTTTTCCTCAGACTGATCGAGATGTACTCCAGCGTATAATGTAAGTGAGCCTCTGTTCGCATCTTGCCTTGATATGAGAGGAGTTTAAGCTGCGAATGAAGAATGGATCTTTTATGTCTATTTCCTCCAGCTCAGGCAAATCCTTCAAAATAATTACGCGGGTAGATGTTACGCCCCACTTCAAGCCTAAAATTCCATTTTGTCAGCGGAACAATACCTGGCTTTACACTTTTAAAGAAGCTGAGATCAACAAATGAGGGCGAAGGTTCAGTTTAATTTTATATTTCATTGCAGATGGTACGGAGAGGTCTAGTGCGTTTTATGTAAAAGATTGAGAAAAAACCAACCTCTTGGGAATCAGGGAAATCACCTGACCCCTCTCTTGGAACCTCTGGCAGTGAAATCGTTTCAACGTCATCTTCTGAGAAAAGAATGAACAACTAGTTGGTTAAAAATAGAGTGACGCTGAATGTGTCATGTTTTATGTACATAAAATACGAGTTGTTAGTTATCACTGAACTCAAACCGAAAATAACAAGCCCCTGATAGGCGAAATAAACAGAATCCGTGG